TACATATGATGCTTCCCACTATGTCATTACAATGTATATTTAATCAAACTTGGAAATGGTTGAATATTTTTTCAAATCAACTGAATTGAGTGGTTCAGTTATAGAATTCAACCGATATAGAACCGATTCTTTATGTATCAATTAACAAACTACTTATTTTGAGAAAGTGTTTATTAATACAGCTCGGCAAAGACATTAAGTGAAACTTATATAACTTTTGAAATTTTTAATACTAACATCGTTAACTTAGTCTGTCCCGTACACAGTAAGACTAAGAAGCAAAGGAAAACTGTTTCTAAACTTTTTCTCTAACAATTCATAAAAGTAAATCAGTGAAAATCGGATTGGATCGATAACCGACTTCAAGTTTAGTAGAGTCTTGAAGAAACAACTAAAAACAGGTTAATAATGTGTTTCCGCTTTTCTGAATTATTTATTAACTATGCCGAAATGTGAGATGCACAAATTCTATGAAGGATATGAAGTTAAAACATTTTATTATAGAATGATACAAAACGAAATAATTGATAAATATTACTAACATAACAGAAAAAAGGATTAGAGCTAATGACAAGAACGGAGACTATTTCTCAATTAAATGAAATTCAGTAATCCTTTTCTTATCATTGCCGATATTATACGTACAATCCACCACTTATTAAATTAGCATATGAATTGTTCAGCATCAATTCATTTCCATAATCTAATTGCAAAAAAAAAACTGTTTCGTAATATAATCGATATTTCATTATAAATAAAGAATCAAGTCATCACGTTTTAAGTCTATAAAACAATATGTTTAATGAAATTAATAATGAAAATACTATACAAATAACTAGAAACTAATGCTAAAGTTTCATTCTATAGAAATTGATGAGGGCAGTCTTTTAACTAATAAATTGCTTTTGAATCAAGTATATTGTATTAGATCTACATAAGATATCAAATAAAATCTATTAGAATTTAGTTATAAAATAAACTATAATTCTTGTATAATTGCCATAACATGATATTATTTATTTATTTATTTATTACAATATTTCTTGGGGCTAAGCTGGATGCTACCAAGCGGGTCCACAGGTTGCGGATAGTGGAACGACCATTAGTACGATGGTTAGCTGCGAATAAGATCAAGCGATTGATCAAATAAACAGTCCCGGACAATACTCAGCCTTCTTGCCAACAGGGTGTGGTGGGGTTTTGATTGGAACCGAAACTCTTATAAAATGCCACAGAAACCCAAAGACGACAGGATGACAGGGCGAGTATAGGCCGCCAGAAACAAGATTCCCCCCGAATCGAGATTTCATAAGCCTTATCCTGGGTCGATGAAGCTCGCTAGCCTTGACTAGCAATTTCATCAAATGGAGAAAACCATTCTAAACCGGCGGAAGGCAAGGGGAAACCACCGCTGTACACTCCCAAGCACAACATGATAAACGTCAAAATTTCCAGACAAGATAACAGCGTGAAGGGGGTTCTCGGAGAGAACATCTCGCTCGGTAGAGGTGGTCATGTACGACAGGTGACCCTCGATCGTCAACAGGCTACTGTCCCAACCAAGAACTCACTCAAAATAGGAACGTGGAATGTAAGAACTATGTTCCAGAAAGGAAAATTAGATAATATAAAGAACGAAATGGAACGGATGAAAGTAAATGCGTTAGGCTTATCTGAAGTCAGATGGCTAGGTGCTGGATCCTTTACAACGGATAACTTTCTTTTATTATACTCTGGAGGAGACAAACACGAGAGAGGAGTAGGAATGCTTCTTGACAAAGAAACCTCCAAGAGTTTGCAAGGCTTTTGGGCGGTTTCAGACAGGGTTCTTCTTGTAAAACTCTACGGAAAACCTTTCAACATCTCACTAATTCAATGTTACGCACCAACCGCTGATTATGATGATGATGCAATCACGAGCTTCTATGAAGATCTAGACAAAGCCTACAAACAATGCAAGTCTGATGATATCATCTACGTAATGGGTGATTTCAATGCAAAAGTGGGAGATAAAAGAATTGGCAATACAGTAGGACCCTTCGGTCTAGGAAACAAAAATGATAGAGGAGATAACTTGATAACCTGGTGCCAATCACATAATCTCGTAATCACAAACACATGGTTTAAAAACCACCCACGTAGACTATGGACATGGCGAAGCCCAGGAGACCGGGCAAGAAATCAAATAGATTATATTATGGTCCCTCATCGATTCAGGAATTCAATCATTTTCTCCAAAGCATTTCCTGGAGCAGACTGTGGTAGCGATCATGTCCCAGTCATCAGTAAAATTCGAGTGAAATTAAAAAGAATAAAACAACCACAAAGAAATACAAAGCTTCAAGTTCATATTCTGAAAAGTGATCCAGATCTGAAAGAAAAATTCCGCATAAAAGTACAAAATCGTTTTGAAGCACTAGATGGAATCACAGAAACCGAGATATTGTGGGAACAGATGAAATCATTCATAATAACATCTGCTGAAGAAGTAATTCCTAAAACACATTTAAAGAAAAAGAAACGATGGATGACTAATGAAATTTTACAACTAATGGAGCAAAGACGACTGAAGAAGTCAAACCTCCAAGAATACAAATTGATAGACAAAGCAATCAAAAAGAAATGTTCAGAAGCAAAAGAGAAATGGCTGAACGAACAATGCTCAGAGATCGAAAACAAGCTGAGTGTAAACACCAAATTTGCTCATCAAAAGATTAACGAAATAACAGGAAAATCAAAATGCACCAGTTCAGGTTGTATCAAATCAAAAAATGGAACCGTTCTTATGGAAAAAGGTGACATACTGAACAGGTGGACAGAATACATAGAGGAACTCTTCGACGACAATAGAATTTCTAAACCTAACATAAAGAAAAATATAGAAGGACCTCCAATAATGAAAGATGAAGTAAGACTGGCCATAAAATCAATGAAAACAAACAAAGCGACAGGGCCAGATGGAATATCCATCGAAATGATTCAATGTCTTGATGAACTAGGTGTAGATGTCATGACAAAACTAATAAACAAAATATATGACACAGGTGAAATTCCGGAAGATCTAACAAAATCAATATTCATAGCGCTTCCAAAGAAGCCTGGAGCTACTGAATGTGAACTACATCGCACAATCAGTCTCATGAGTCATATCACAAAAGTTTTGCTTAAGATTCTGATGATGCGTATGAAAAATAAGATCACGCCAGAAATAGCAAAAGAACAATATGGATTTATGCCTGATAAGGGCACTAGAAATGCAATCTTCATCCTTCGAACGATAATCGAAAGATCAATTGAAGTCAAACATGATCTATACCTATGTTTCCTTGACTACACAAAAGCTTTTGATAAAGTCAAACACGACAGTCTATTCCAAATTTTGGAAAAACTCGACATCGATGGCAAGGAACTACGAATAATCCGAAATCTTTATTGGGATCAAAAAGCTGCCATACGAATAAATAACGATACCAGTGACTATACAGGTATAAAGAGAGGTGTCAGACAAGGTTGTGTTCTATCTCCAGATCTTTTCAACATATATAATGAAATGATACTTAGAAATCTAGAAGATGTTGAAGGAATAAAAATTGGAGGTAAAAATTGTAATAATATAAGATATGCAGACGACACCGTACTATTGGCAAGTAATGAACAAGACCTACAGAAAATGATTGATATAGTCTCAAAAGAAAGCATAAAAATGGGACTATCACTCAACATCAAGAAAACAGAATGTATGTGTGTTTCAAAGAATAAAATCACACCGACATGCAAAGTTTACATAAATAGAGAATCAATCAAGCAAGTAAATCGCTTCAATTATTTGGGATCCGTCATAACCTCAGATGGTAGATGCGATGAAGACATCAAAATGAGAATAGCTCTCTCTAAACAAGCGTTCCAAAAGATGAGTCCAGTTCTGAAAAATAGAACCCTATCGATCGACACTAAAACAAGAGTACTCAGATGTTACGTTTGGTCGATTCTGCTATACGGTTCCGAATGTTGGACAATCAGTAAAGAAATGGAAAAACGCTTAGAGGCTACTGAAATGTGGTTTCTCAGAAGGATGCTTAATGTACCTTGGACTGCTAGAGAAACAAACGAATCAATATTAAAAAGAACGAAATCGAAAAGACTTTTAATCAATACCATCCGTTATAGGCAACTAAAATTCCTTGGCCACATAATCCGTAAAGGTTGCATAGAATATCTGGTATTGAGTGGGAAAATCAATGGAAAGAAAGATAAAGGCCGACCTAGAATCAAATATCTAGAAAACGTGAATCTATGGATTGAAAAACAAGGTTATGCGAAAATAGACTTTCTTCACGCAGCACAAGATCGGAAGAATTGGCGTATCATGTTAGCCAACGTCTGTAACAGATAAGGCATCTATCTGATCTGATCTGATTACAATATTTCATAATTGATTTCAAGAAAACAAATGTCAAAAATATAAAATAAAAGCCAATAAAATAACCAATATTTTGCTCTTGTAAAATCTTAAGTGTTATTAAAATTTTAATAATTCGACGTTTTATATTTGTTTGATAAGTATATCATTTGATATAATACGTAACAGATTGTATTCGTTTATTAAATTTCGGTTAAATTATCATATAAATATTGCTTCTTCTCTTTTTTTTTCTTATTATGATTTTTCATTCGACAAAATAACAAAGATGCGTCTGTTATCGATCGCGAATTTGTTCTTCTTCTTTGCTTTGATTATGGCTTTTCATGGTAAATTAATTAAAAAACGAGATACCGCTGACCTGTGGAATATACCTACGAATAATGATGATAATCGTGATCCAGAAGCTGCATCCTCTACGATTTCTCCTGGTCCAAACCGCAATGGAATTCGAAGACGAAGGATTAAACTTGGAAAATAATAATAATCATGCATTCATTTATTTTATATTTCATCAATAAAATAAGAAATGAAATATTCTGATGAATTTTAAGATGTTTATTTTTTTTTTGTATTCTTCTCATCTAAAACTCATAATTCGTTGAAATTCATAAAAATTAACTTTAAAATCTTTATCTAAAATATTAGATGAATGACATATTTAAGAATTAAAAACCAAAAAAAAAAAATAATAGAACATACCAATATCAGCTTCACGAATCATTTCATCAATATCTTCATCTGTAATTTTTTCACCTAGATTTGTCATAATTTCTCGTAAATCTTTTGCTTCAATAAAACCATCATCATTTTGATCGAATAGATTAAAAGCATCTTTGAGATTATCTTCTGTTGTAACATTTTTCTTAATAAATGTTAACATAAAACTAAGATATTCTTCAAATTCAATAGTTCCTAAAAGAAAGAAAAAAAACCGATTAGAATAATTTCAATTCATATAAACATATATTATCTAACCTGATTTATCAATATCAAGTTGATTGATAAATGTACTTAGTTCACTTTCAGGAACATTATATCCAAGATCTTCGAGAACTTTACTAAATAGAAAATAAATTTATTATTTAGAATTATTCGTTGTGAAAATTTTTTAGTAGTTTAAATAAATGATTTACGTTTCATGTTCTACATATGAAGAAATCAAAATTTCAGTTGATTATTCATTGTTAAATCCCTACAGTATTTATTAATGGATGTGCCCAAATAAATATCTCTCTAAGTATTTTCTCAATGTAGCCCATCAAGATTCATTGTAATGCCTTAATCGTTTTCTTTAAAAAGATTAACAATTCAATTTTCTATAAGAACGTATCACGAGTTTTGCTAGACAATATCAAACAAAAACATTAGATAAATTATGCAGCGACATTTCAATATAGATAACCTTTACCAATAAAAACCAGTCTGTCTAAGCCTATTTGTTGAAGTCTTAAACTAATAAAATAAGAGCTGTTAGCATAATCCCTACAGAATTAAAATGTGAAGCACAATGTGGCTGCTCTTACTAATCACAGGGAGATTATTTTATTCTATCTATTTGAAGACACGTTTCTTCACTATCCTTTTACTTAATCCTCTAGGCATGCAATAAGATAGTAGTTAATATACTTAGGGTTATCCAAAAGTGGTGATGGAGGTTCTTGTTTTTCTTATAGAAAGCTTGAAAAAATGTTCTTTTTTATGAATAGATAGAGCGTCTTTCGCTCTATCTTTCTATGCTATTTGACCACTATTAAACAAATATCATAATAATAAAATTTCGATAAGAGCTATCTTTGTTGAAAACCAGCTGGTAACATTTAGTTCATAATGAGTGTGGTATTTTTGCATTCCACTTTATTATCACATAATATGTTGTATTGAAAAAACGAAATGTACCAGAAGATGCAGCGTGAAGAGCTCTACAATTTACAAAGAACAACTATACAAAGATAAGATAGAAAAAGACCGAATTCGTTTTTTTATCAAAAAAAAAGGTCTCGTTTTCGTCACGTCGAAACTTGGTAACTCAGAGTTTTGTCCATTTTTAGAACAAAAAGTACAACTATAAAATAAGCGGTACTTTATAAATTATAGAGCTTTTCACGCTGCATCTTCTGATATATTTTGTTTTTTTTAATACAACGTATGGAGTGATAATAAGATGAAATGCAAAAGTGTCCCATTTTTTATATCACACACATTATGATCTAAATGTTACCAGCTGGTTTTCAACAAAAATAGCTCTTAACGAAATTTTATTATTATGATATTTGTTTAATAGTGGTCAAATAGCATAGACAGATAGAGCGAAAGACGCTCTATCTATTCATAAAAAAGAAAATTTTTTCAAGCTTTCTATAAGAAAAAAAGAACCTCCGTCACTACTTTTGGATAATCCTAAGTATTATCACGAGACACTATTGATATACGATCTGTGATCATATATCAAATATCTGTCATGATCTTTGACTAGCATCTATCACGGTTTATGCGAAGTCCAAATCTTTATCCCTATATTTTAATACTCCTTTTGGATTGTGTTTCACAATCTAGATAACAATTTTGTAGCAATTGAAAACCTCTGCTTTGTAATCAGGAGAGTAAGATTTTTGTGTGAATATCTACCATATAAATGATTTATTTCTTTTTTTTTCTTCTCAAATTTTACAAAAAATAACGATTTTGAGACACACAGAAAAATTTGCATTAATTAAAAAACAAAAGAATGAATCAATATAACGCAATTGTATTTCAATTTCAAGAGAAATGAATTATGCATCAGATTGAAATGCCAAAATTTGCATAGAAATCTTTATTCGAGTACGTTGCACAAAACAAAGTTTTACTTGTTTTTTTTTATTCGATTTAATAAAATAATGTTTGCGTCATAAAAAACAGAACCTGGTTGAAATGAACTTAAGTGTACATCATGAGACAGAACGTACTTAGTTATACTTCATTTATTCTGACGTAACTGTTATACGAATATTTTTCATACTTCTAATATTTTAAATTCATTTGTTTATTTACCTAAATTGTTCTGTTGTAATTGAACCTGTCATTTCTTTGTCAAACACAGCAAATGCATCACGTATTTGATCGATTTGTTCTTGACCTACTTCTGTAGTTGTTGAACCAGATCGAATTGTTGATACAGATGATCGACTAGCAATCGACGTTGTAAATGATCTAACATCATCATCATAATGTACATTGAGTGTTGTATGAGATACATCTTCAGAGTGTGATGTATGATGACTTGTTGTCATGTCTCTATTGAGACAAAAGTAAATTTGTTTTTTTAGAATCTTTTATTCGCGCTTTATTTACAAAAATTTAAATTATTCATTGAAACAATATTAGATCTTTTTGATAAATGAATATTTTTGAATTTATATGTTTCAAAAAGATAAAGGTATCTATTTCAGATATGATCATGAACATAAGAATTATTTCATTTATGAAATTGATAAAGTATCATATTTTACATTTAGAAATCATCTTTGACGTAGGAAATCCACAAGAAACTGTAAGCATGAAACTCGTGTAAAAGAGATCAACTTGTTTTCTTTTGTAGAGATTTAACTTGAATACTAATAAGAGTATCATTTATACTTAATCATAACTCAGGATTGGGCGAATCAAGCCACTTTTCGAGTAGTAATGAGCGAAACCAATCGTTTTTCGGTGCCGATCAGAAAAAAAAATTTTGGTTCTGATTTGGTGCTTAATAATGCATGTACTAGAGAAAAAATGCGATATCATCTTCTAGTAGTGTCAATAAACTTGATACATCTTGCACGACATACACAATTTCTAATATCTTTTCTCTTGGATATTCATTACTTTCTTTTTTAATTTACTAATACTTCGTCTATTCTGCACGTTTATATGTTCAACATTTCTGTTGTTTACGAAAAAAGAAAATGATTAATTTTATTATTGAAATTGTAACAGTAAATATTGAAATAATCATTACTCAATGATTTTCGCATAAACTATTCGAATACAAATGCCGTAAGAATATGACATTTGACGTAAATGTCACACGATTATAGAATATGTCACTCCCAATGAAAAAGTGTTGATCTCGATCCCGTCGGGATTGGAGCATCGACCATCTTCCCATATCTCGAGTTGAATTAAATTGTTTTTTTGCCATTTTTGCTTTTTCTATTTGTTTTTATCAGGAACGTTAACAACAAGTTTTTCATAACATAACCTCTTATTCCCTGGTTTTTATGCACAAAAAAAACAAAATAAAAACGATACTACATTAAATAAAATAACACAACTAGTATATCCTCATCCACAAAATAAGGGCCGTAAAATCGACCGTTCTCTTTCGTACAAGTTCAACAAGATAGTAAAAAAGGAAAGCATCAATTTTTATCAGCACAAAAGTTAAACTTTATTAATTTGTGAAAAATTTTAAAGATTCGATCTCATTAAAAAAACTGCTTGGAGAAAACACATGTTCAATTGATGCTAATATACCAAAAATACGCATGATTTTTCTATCAAGTTCATTAAGAGATTGATATGAATTTTTCACTAGTTAAATTTTCTTTTTGCATAAAAATCATCAATTTCTTGTAAAATTGATTATGATGTTGAATTATTAACTTATGTTTTTTTTTGAATAAATGACTCGAGTCGATTATCCCTGTTATAACGAGAATATTAATATTGAAAAGTTTTAAACACAATATTGCTGTGTTCTATATAAAAAGATTTTCTTTTCAAAATACACAACAAAGAATCTGGAGTTTATCTACCATTGAAGATTAATTAGAAAATTCTGTTCGCTTATCTGAAGGACTATGGATATATCTATCGATTAGAAAAAATATCCGGAGCTCTTTAGAATGAAATACATTAAGAAAAAAATTTGTCCGCAATTTGATCATTACCAAAACAAGTCAATCTGGAGGAGAAAGCAAAACAATTTTTGTTTTGTATATATAATCTTCTTATCGTTATTTAAAATAGAAGTAAAATATAAATATATTACATGTCAATTGGAATACTTATTTATGTACATTAGATTGTCCTCGTACGGTACACATCACTATAGATTATGCTACCTAGGTAGAATTATCTGTACATTTGTTATATCATTCAATAACATAATAATGACAGCAAAATAACAAATCGATTTTTTTAAATTCACTTATTGCCTTACAAGTGCTTTAAAGGCTGGTAATGATGGTTAGTTTTTTCTAATCATTCATAAGAAATATGATATTTTATTCTATATAAAATATCTACTTTAAGGATGTAGGTGAAGAGAAGATCCATATCCACATCTCCTCTAATTATACAAAAAACTTTTACTGATTGCTTGAGATACTTCATTATTTGTTCAGATAATTTCAAACATCGTTCATAAAACTCACAAAAAATACCTTCGAGAATCAAATTTATTTTTATAAATTCGTATACTAGGCAACTTAGACAATATGTTTATCTCAAAAAATCGAATTTTCTAAGGGGAAAACCTTAAGAACAAAGTCAATAGTATGGATTAAGTTTTCTAGCAATAATACTTTTATCTAATGATTAATAAAACTACTAAATATATCACTTATGATGCAAGAGAAGATTAATTCTAATTATAAATAGTGAACTCTTTCTATATTAGGAAAACATATTTTATTGTATTATCTTAAATCAATATATAATAAAGATGATTGGAGTGTTACATAAGTATATATTGAGATAAATATGAAATCCAGATTAATGTTCACCAAGTCAGGTGAAATAGCATGACTTTTGATGTAATAATTGATAGAACTGTGAGCACAAAATCAAAATTGAATAAAAATAAAATATACTTTGCACAAAGATATATTTGAAAGTGAGAAATTTTCTTCGTTGTCAAAGCTTCAAAAATCATTTCAACAAACATTTACTTAAATGAAAAATTTTTCTATTATTATATTTAGCAGAAATTTTGACAACAGTTATCAAATTATGAAGTAAACATAAAACTTCATGATTTTCTTGGTCATTTTTGACATTAAAAATTCTGATAACAATTTATTATTAGTTCAAACTTTTTTATTGATAAAATGAGTAGGAGGAAAAAATCATGAAATCTATAGTTATTTTTTCTTTAGAATACTTGACAACTCGTTCTGAAAAATTTGGTCAGATGGCGTCGTTAATCAATTATCATTATATTTATTTTGTATGAATATCGAGCTTGGATTTGAATGAAATGAAATATTATTTTGTTTAGTACTTCTAACTCTATATTTTTGTCCTCATCTAAAGGTTACGCAAATTTATTAAAGCTTAAGTAAATATAAAGTAAATCCGACTTAATCTATATCCCTAGGTGATAAAAAAATCTCGTAAAAATAAATGAGATCTGTTCTATAGATGTGCTTTATGAAATTTGCATCTAGAATATATTAAAAATAAAATCAGATGCAAAGTAATTTGCATTCTAAAAATCTCTAAATATCTTGTCATTTACGATTTGTTGACTGTCGATAACACTCAAATATATATATATATATATATAAAGCAGTATTTTTACGTTGTATTTTTAAATCTCTCAAATCGTCATTACCTTTTATCTTGCTTATCTTTTTTTTTACATCCGTAGTTACTAAGAGAAAAAAAAATTATGTTGCGTTCAAGACAACTCAAACAATTTGCTGCACAATGTCTTGCTGAACTTTTCGGAACATTTATTATGATCTTTATTGGTAATTTATCTGTGGCTCAATATACATTTACTAAGCCACGTATTAATAGCAATTTTGGTATTAATCTATCCTATGCAACTGGAGTTTATGCGGCTCTAATGGTAGCTGGTCCTATATCAGGTTAGATATTAAAAAAAAAGAAGAAAACTATAGATTATATAACAATTTAATTATGCTAATGATTAATTGAAATGATTATTTAAAAAATTCTAAGATTTATTTTCGTTTTAAGCTCATTATTAATCTTTATATTCTATGTAGATCTAAATTAGAGAACGTAATGATCGATTTTGTTGAACTATAGATTTCTTCAGGTTAAATTACAAAATGTTAAATGCTATTAAAAAATATGTACAGAAGTTTCAAACGATCTGACAAAGTTAATTTCGATAGTTTTTCTTTGATAAAAAACAAAATGCTCTATACTTGTGTCTATTATAATTACACAAATGACAGCTGTCTTTCTCTCGAAATTATAGTTAGATTAGTTCGTCATCGTTTATTTTTTTTTATGTAGATCTATTCTTGTCTGTAGAGAATAAATTTCTAGGTCGTTTATTAAGTTTTTATAATTATACTATTCTAACACTAATATTAGATTTAGGATCAAAAATGACCTATTCTTATTTATGTATCTATGCAAATTAAAAATATCTATATTTAATGTCATACAATGATTACAATTATTTTGTTTTTACGTTTTTCGTACGTTTTTTAGTTGTGTACACTATAGTGAGTGTAAAAATCACTGCATATGGTGATAAATTACAAAATGACAGGCTCATTCGTGTGAACTTCAAGCTAATAACTGTCACAAAAAAAGGTAGCACTTAATTTTTGACTTGACTCCCCTACGCACTATAATAAAAGTTTTGAGATTTGATGCACAATATTCTTGAGATAGATATATTTAACATTTTATTAATAGTTCTAAAATTGATTTTGTAGAAAATGATTGCATGAGAAGTATTTATTTTTGCTATATGTTTTTGGACAAATCATTTGGCAGATTATTACACACATTCGTATAACTTAAGGCAAAGATTTGCAAAAAAACAAAAACCATATAACTCTCTTACGATGATCTTTATTACATGACTACCTTCAATATGCTTTCTATCCCGAAAGCATTTGTTGCTATTAGAGAATCTTAGAGTGTATCAACGCAGTTTACTATGTGCTTGGGAAAAGAATGAAAATGACACAGTCTGTCGTAAATAAAAAGTTTCGTTGTATGATTCATTATGATTGTACTAAACCAAAAGAATTCTTACATAATGCTTTTTTCATTGTAACGGATGTTATTTTGACGAAGAAATCTTTAAATAGGAAAATATCCTTCTAGTAACTTGCCAAAGGACGTGTGGTAGAATGAGTATCTTTTCCCTCCGAACTGTTTTTGACTTTTGCCTATTTGAGAGTTATTAAAGGGTCGATAGAAATATTCCATATGACTTCATTTTGCACCATTCTATAGGGAACTTTTTGCCATCTGTGATATTCTTCAGAATTCGAAATTCTTTTTTCCCTCAAATATCCTTCGAAGTATATTATTTATATGTGACTTTGTGCACTGATTACGAATATCATATTTATAGTTCGATTAAATTGAGTATTGTATATGGAAAAAGTATTTTATTGCTAAATGAGTTATATAGCCATTTTTCCATTTATTATCCTATCTATAAATCAAAAACATTGTTTGCTTTTTTTTTCTTTTCGAACTATGTCCAAATATACAAAAATGTTTATTTTATTCATTTTAAACCGATTCAGTTTCGACAACAATCGATATGTTTCATCTAATTAGAAGTTTTTCACAAAAAGATAAATTTCATCATGTTGTGATGGTTTTCGGGAATACCAAATGATCGGATGTCAAACAGTCATATATATACCGTTCGATGGAGTTTTCTCCATTCCATCCCAATATCAAAGCAAGTTCAAGAAGAAGAGCTTTACATCAGGTCGTCAGAGATTTTCTAGAAAACCAAGTAAGAAATCATAAGAATTTTGAACTTTTTAACAATACCATTATGTTTAGCATGTTCTAAAATCTGTTTCTGAATATTTTCATAGTTCCTATCTATCGCTACTCATAAATATAGACGACTCTTCTACTTAAGTTAACAATCAGCAATCTGGTATATCTGTTTCAGATATATTCTCTATCTCTTGAGTGAACGAAAACAAACCTATGAAAGTTTCCAGGAGCAGGCTTTGGGACATACTAAACACAATGATATTGTTGAAAAGTTCAAAACCTTGATGGTTTTGTACTCACTTTTCTAGAGAATCTCTGAAGATCTAATGGAAACCTCTTGTTTCTTAAATTCGATTTAATGTTCAGATGAAGTAGGAAAAACCGCATCCACAGGTATATATGACTATTTAACACCCGATCATTTTGTGCTGCTCGAAGGTCACACAAAAAGATGAATCGTGCGTTTCTATAAGATATTTCAATGGCTTATCAATCACTTTTGTGCGTTTTGGAATATCTTGGAAAGAAAGAAAAACAATGTTTTCATTTATAGATAGACTAATATATAGGGCAACGACTGCATAGCTCATTTAGCGATAAAATGCTTTTCCATATGTAAAATTCGACCCAATAGAAATAGTAATACGATATTCGTAATCAGTGCACAGAACTGAATACAATTGATATACTTTGGAGGATATTTGACGCAAAAAAAAATTTCTTCGAATCCTAGGATGTAGTAAGCTGAGAGTTATATCACGCTCGGGTCTGAAGTGTAATTTATTGTCAGATCCGGTTCACAAAAATGTGAACACGCAGCTCTCTATCGGTAAGTATCGACCAATATGAAAGGTTTTTTTGTGCAAGATTGTTAAAACCAATATCATTAATTGTTTTGAATAGTCAATAGTTAAGTGCTTCAAATTCAGCACAAGCAATTCTAATATTCTGTTTAACTCGGTCGGGAATAGCTAGTGCATCTTTTGAAGGTGAATTAGTATCAGAAGACAATTTATAAGTAAGTAAATCTTCACATTGATCTCGTTTCCATACATACAACTACGACTATTCTATATAGCTGAAGATTTTAGTATTACCTTTTGTTTGACGAATTTTAACATAATGCTCTTTTCAACTAAACGAAAACTTTCAAGCAATTAAGCATCGAATGATGGGAAAGTGAAGAACAAAAAATAGCTGTAAGGCAACTTTTTTTTATGAGAATAGCTAAAACCTTGATTCTTCACTTGTTCATGTATACAGAATGTGTCAGATATTGGTGGAAAAGAATTCTGTATGGAGTCGACTGAGTCTGGGTTCAGAAGTAAAGCTTTTCTCGGATTAGGGTCCATAAAAATGTGGACCTCAGCTTCCTACTGAGAGGTACAACAGAGGGTAGAAGTCTCATTTTGAAAGGACGCAAACCAAAATCATAGGAAATACTTCTACTGATCGTTTGACAACTCTCATATAGATAAAAGTCAAAGAAATCGGTAGAGAAAAAAAAAGTCATCCCATCACATGTCCTTTATTTGATGGCTAAAAAGATTACATCTAATAAATTTTTATAGAATTATTTGTTATAATTTTCCATTTAAATGCATGATCAAAATTCTTAAACTTTACTAAAAAGATGACATGAACAATTTTTGAAGTGAATAAACTTGGAAATTCCATGCTAATGGATAATACTCATTGGAAGTTGAAAGTCTTTTGTTTTTATAAATAATTCTTGATTAATTGTAATAGAAATTCTTGTACTCTCATTATCGTATCAATCAAATTTGAGCCATTTAAATTTGTTTCTAGGTGCTCATCTTAATCCAGCTGTAAGTCTTGGTCTACTTTCATTACGTAAAATGAAAGTTACTCAATGTTTATTCTATATGGTTGGTCAAACAGTCGGTGCTTTTCTTGCTTCTGCTATGGTTTATTTTGTTTATATTAGTCACTTTAATCTCTATGATGGTGGTATTCGACAAGTTGAAGGTCCAAATGCAACAGCGGGTATATTTTATACAATACCAGCAACAGGTGTTCCTAATTGGAATTGTTTAATTGATGCAGTTGTTGGCACTGCTCTTTTACTTACATTTATAATGGCACTTGGTAATGATTATAATGATTTAATATCAAATGCAGCTAAACCATTTGCATTTGCACTTATGATAACTACATTTGGTTTTTCTATGAGTCTCAATTGTGGAAATCCAATTAATCCAGTTCGTAAAAATTTTTATTTTCTTTTTTCTTTTTGTATAAAAAAAAAAGCAACTTTTAAAATTTTTTTTTCCTAGGTACGTGATTTCGGTCCACGTCTATTTGCAGCTTTTATCTATGGTTTCAAAGTATTTCGTGTAAATAATTATTATTTTTTGGTAGCTAGTATTGGGCCAATTATAGGTGCTCTTATTGGTGTTTGGATTTATGAAGGTTATTTAATCTTAATGAAAAAATATGCTAATTTACCCGGTATTATACATGTTGATGCTATTGAACAACCTGCTGTAAGAGGACAATCTATGTCACATCATATGATAACACAACTATCTTCTGAAAGTAACTGATTTTATAAAAAAAATTTTCTTCTCATTTATGTAACATATTTTTTCATTATTTACAGCCACAGTGTCAACGTAAAACATGGCACTCATGTTATTCATTATTTTATTATGTGAATAGAATTTTATTATCTCTTCGAACACTATACTTGTGAATATATGATGAAAAATAGCTTTCTTTTCTGTTAACAATATATATATATATATATATGCATATGTATGAATTATAAAATAAAATATATCAGCATATAATTATGTACGGTAACATACCGAGAAAATGTCTATGTTTAACTAAATATATACTTAGAAGTCATATGACCTTGTGTCTCATGTGACTGTCGAAGAAAAAGGAAAAAAAACAAGAACTAAAAAAAAAGCAGGAAATATTTTCATGTGCATTCTTGGGTTTGCATTCTTTGACAACGTAGTACTTTTGTGTCTGTAGCACAAAACAACAAAAAAAAACAGTATATAGATTATAATATAATGGCAAAAGTCAAGGAATTACAACAATATTTAGCTCAATGTGTAGCTGAATGTTTTTCTACTTTTATGTTGATATTAATTGGTGAAGCATCATTGGCTCAATATAAATTTTCGAAATCTGAACATCGTTCGATAATTGCAATAAATCTTTCATTTGGCATTGGTGTTTATACAGGTATTTGTTGTTGTTATTATTTTTTTCCTTTTTATCATTCTATATTTGAATCATTGATAACAGACGGAAAAATTGTTATTATTATAATAAGATGAAATAATTGGTCAGATTAAGTATATTGGTAACGATAATCTCATTTATGTTGAAATTTATAAGAATCATTGACAGAGGTTTAGTACTGTTGTTCTGTTTTTTGTTTTGTTAATCAAAAGAATGTCACATGATATATCGATTAGGAGATGTTTATCTTTGCCTAGATAGATAATTGCTTTTCCTTGATCTTATATCAATGGAGTCTATATACAGTTCTAGTATAATATTTATGGTAAAGAATGCCAAACTCTTCCGTGAGTTAGTATTATTTGTTTCATTGAGAATTCTATTTCAACTATTGTTACTTTTATAGGAAAAAAAAATTCAATTTACTGCTAGATTCTATTCAGTAAAACTTGCTTGCTTACTACGATTACCAATTATATCTATCTCATAGAGACACCTATGGAAATATATAATTTACTTGTGATGTTGTTTTTTATAGCATGAATTACAATGACATATTTGAGACAATGTCTATTGTAATTTATCATCTGTTACTTGATGTATTCAATAAAGTCATTAATCATACTGAATTCATTTTCCTATGTCTATTTTGATTAACTGATGTTTCATGATCTGGAGATTCTCCGAAAAATGCATTCATATTAGATTAAATTCCTCCAAAAAATCGTCCTATTTTTTTTCTATGTATTTATTAAGCCGAAGGTCATTTTGGATTTTTCTGAGAAAAAGCATCGAAATCGGAGAAATTCGTGTTGTATTCTATAAAGCTGTCATTTACGTTTCTCAGAAAAGATCGAGTTATACACAAAAAATCCATGTGATTCGAACCAGAAGAATACCGACGATTTTTTTTGGAAGCGTTGTATCAAAATGGGTGAATATTTTGGAAGTCTATTTTGAATAGGTCGATTTTGATGCACACTGATAATGTTGATGCGTCTGAACTAGCCACAGAACCTAAACTGACTCCGGTTATGAGATAAATTTTTATTAATAAAATATATTTCGAAACTGTTTTCTTCTCAGTTAATTTGAATTTAGCTAAAATAAAAAATTGTAAACGCTACCGACGGTAATGTGAACAAACGCGCGACATAGACAGATTTGAGATCAGTAAGTGGAAAAACACAAAAGGATTTTCTGGTGAAAATTTATTAAATAAAATTGATATATATGTAAAAGTGCATTGTTGCATAGAAGTATCAGACTATGAATCATGAATTTTTCTTTACTTTTTAACTGTAACGATCTCACTCATTTCTAGCATCCTGCATAGTACTCAAACCTGACTCCGACGGAGCCTGAGTGAAACAAGTTTATTCTTCATATATTAAGTAATGAATAAAAATAAACTATTTTATAGATTCATGTATAAGTTTCAAGCAAGAAAAAACGAACATCAGAGAAACATTTCTCATTAACAAAGTAGTACAAATAGAAGTAAATATGATACTGAAAAAAAATTTTCAGGATCAAAAAGTTTGATTCCGCAACGGTCTACTATTTTCTTTCTAAATGGTAGATACTTGATTGTTAATTAACTAAACTAAATTTATGAATAACATTTTATATTGTATGTTGAATAGAATTTATTATCAAATGAAAACAAAAAAAAAAACGTTTTTCTTTCTGTTACTTTTCTTGGAAAATTATTTTCAAAAATATTGTTTATTCAAATTTTATTTCTTTCACCAAAGATACGACTTATTATTATTATTATTTATACTTAAAATTTTATCTGATTTCTTTTAGCACTTATGATTGCAGGACCGATCAGTGGTAAGAAAAAAAAACAAATATGTAATCAATATCTTTAATCACAATAAATGTTTTTTTTTTGATATCTAGGTGCTCATTTAAATCCTGCTGTTAGTATTTCACTATTAACTATTCGTAAATTAAAACCACTACAATGTCTTTTTTATATTATCGGTCAAATAATTGGAGCATTTCTTGGTGCTCTACTCGTTTATTATCTTTATTGGGGTTTATTTAATCGATTCGATAGTGGTGTACGACAAATAACCGGTGAAAATGGTACAGCTGATATATTTTTTACAATGCCCGAAGAAGGTATAGGACAATGGAATTTAGTTTTTGATCAAGTTATTAGTACAGCTGTTTTAATGATTTTTATTATGGCTTTAGGAAATGTAAGATAAATTATATTTAAATTTTATTTATTTATTTATTTATTTCATTGAATTTATGTAGGATTTTAATAATATGATATCTGAAGTAGCTAAACCATTTGCATTTGTTCTTATTATTTTTGCTATAACCTCAGCATTTGCACGTAATTCAGGTGCAGCAATTAATCCTGTATGTATAAAAGATAATATTGAACAGGAAAAAAAAGCAAAAATTTAATGTTTTAGGCTCGTGATTTAGGTCCTCGTCTATTTGCTGCTTTTATTTATGGTTGGAAAGAAGTGTTTCGAGCACATAACTATTTCTTTTGGATTCCAATAATAGGACCAATTATTGGAGCAATTATAGGTGTTTGGTTATTTGAAGGTTATTTAGTATTAATGAAACGTTTTGCTAATTTACCTAATATTGTAAATATTGGTTCTATTGAACTACATCCTAAAGCAGTACCGACCGATGATGATGAATTAATGGTGACACATAGACTTACAACAACTCGTAGTTAAATATAATAGATGGTTTTGGTATTCGTTTTTTTTTCTTCTCTCTTTCGTAGTTTAGTTAGTAATATTTTGAAATAGTTTACGAAAAGAATATGTTTTTTTTTGTTAATTGCATTTTTATGTTTTTTTGCACGTTAAAAGAAAAAGAATCGAATAAATATCTAAGTTTTATTTACTCATGTAATACATTTTAAACTTTTTTTTTTCTTTCTATTTTATATGCAAATAAAGAATTTTCATGAAAAAAAAAATATTAATATATCTATTTGAATTGATTGAAGATAATCGAATATTGAATATCAAACTCTAAAAATGATCAGTCAAAGTATCTGAAAAGAATTGTATTATTTATTTATCAACATTTTAATTCAATCTTTTTTTGTTTTCGTTGAAATTAAACGGTATGACAAATTCATGTATTAGATGTTTCATAGGACAAAAAAAAGAGATGCATACAAATATTAGAAAACAAAAATAAAATATTTGTATTAAAATTCTTTTTTGTTAAACTGTAAATAGATAATATTTTTATTTAATATCTCTTACAATGTCTTAAAAATAGTATGGTTTACTTTTTTTTGTTTTGTTTATGAATTAATTTAATAATACACATGAATATGATTGTTGTTCAAAAGTAAAAGATAAGAATAGGTTATCAGATCAAATATTAAAAAAAAAAGAATTTTCTAAATATAGAAAAATAAATTTTTTATTTTTTATTTTGAATTATACAAAAATTAAACAATAATTGTATTTGATGCAATATGTAATCCAACTGATCCACGTGCACTTGTACTACGTGACGAACGAATATTTTTTATTTGATTATGATTATTTGTTTGTGTTATTGAATCATTATGTGTAAATGTTGATGACATATTTGAAGAAGTATTACTATTTGTAACATATGGTGGTCGAACAATAGTTAATACATTTCGAAAACGTTCTCGATTTATTTCATGAATATTTGATTTATTTGTATGACGATTAATTTCATTTAAATCATTCGTTGTATTATTTCCAAATGGATTTTTCGAATTAAAATGAATAACATCCGAACGTTTTAATTGTTTAATTGATCCATTAGCAGTTATTGGTCGATTATCAATTGGTAATGATGATTTATTTAAATCATCATTATCATCAGAAGTTTTTGAAGTTGAATTTTTAAATGATATTGAACGATATGTATTTAATTTTGAATTATTTATTTGTGGTTGTTGATGATGATTATTATTATTATTATTATTATTATTATTTGTTGTTGTTGTTGTTGATGAAATTCCTGTTGCTTTTATTTTAATTGGTGTCTGAAATTGTTGTCGAAGTGATATTGTATGAAGTAATGAACGTTGACGATTGGTTGATGTTGAAGATATTGATGAACTAGTAAGATGTAACATTCCATTACTATTATCAATTGATTCAGAATCATGAGTTCGATTATGAGAATCATGTATTGATGATGAATGAGTATTACCATCAGTATGTGTAATATCAGATAATATATCCATTGATGAATTACTTGGTATATCATGATTTGTTTTAGGAAAATAATTTAAAGGTTTTTCACGTTGTAAAATATATTTTCCATTTGAATTATCATTTAATGATGTTTCATTTAATAATGATTGATTAGGTATTTCAGGTAAATATATACTATGTGATGAATTTGTACGATGTGTAAGAAGTGATTGTTGTTTTTTAATATTTAATTCTTGTCCAATTTGATGATATGATAATGGAAGAGAAGAATTATGTAATGTTTGTGGTTGTTGAATTGATGGTGATGTATAATTCATACCATTTGTAATAAATGTTTTTTTTGTCGTACGATGTCGATGATGACGACGTTTTATATGAGGTTGTTGTTGTTGAGATGTTTCAGTATTATTATCTTCAATTATTTGTACTTTATTAAAATCAGCAAAATAAACTCGTGGACGACGAATATCACTTTGCTGGATAAGTGTTTGAGATAATGGAAGAGAATTATCATCATCATTATCAATTGTAACATTAGGAAGTTGATCATCTTGAATTTTAATTGTTAATGGATTTGTTGGTGCTGGACTTACAAATGTTGATGAATGAAGAGGTGTATGACGTGATAAAGCAGTGCCTCTAAAATAAAAAAAAATATATATGATTTTTCAAATAATTTATTTAAATATTAATAAAAGAAAAAAAAATAATTTTATTGTTAGTCTTACTTAATTAGTCCAGGCAATGATTTTGCTTTTTTAATATGTCTATCAATGAAAATTTTTTTTGGCAAATCAATATTATCCAATTTTTGATATTGTTTATTCATATTGTTATTATTATTATTATTATATGGCCTATCAATCATTGTTATACTACAAGGAACAACAGTTGGCGATGATATTAATGGTGGTGTTGGAGTTCGAACAGGACTTTGTAAATGTTTTGTTCGATAATCATATGTATGAACTGGTGGTTGATATTGATGAATATCTGTTGTTAAACTAACACCATTAACATGTAACCAAACAGATGGTGGCATAGTTGAATGTGATTGTTCAATAAACATCTTATTTGATGTTGGCATTTGAAAAGACCATTTCAATATTACAAATGTATGTGTATGTTTGAGAAGATTTCTTCTTATTCTTCTTCTTCTTGTTTTTTTTTCGTTTGCTTTTCTTTCGTTTTTCTTCTTCTTCTTTTTTTCTTTAGACTTTGTTTTTTATTAAAGAAAAAAAATAATGGAGAGCATTTTTGTTGTTGTTCATGGTGAAAAAAAAACATTACATGCATACATCAAAATTGTATGTTTGAGCACTTAAAAATAAATGAATATATATACGAAACGCAAAATGAAAACGAAAAAAAAAACCAGCGAATGTAACACGCAGAGAGACATACTACTTAAAGTTAACATCGTACGATTAATGCTTTGGTGTCTCTGTTTCTGATTTTTTTTTTATTTTTCTTATTTGTCTGATAATGAAACTCTATTCATAGATCAAATTTTATCGTGCTTGAACTTTATACATTTTTAAAGATGTTATTATTATAATTATTTGACACACTCATCACTATGTTTCTTTCTTTTTGGCATTAAAAAAAAAACAAAAATCAATTTTTTTTTGCGTGACAAAAAATGATTTGTTGTGGAAGTTAATCTGCA